CTACGCAAACAAACAGTGATGCGATCTCTGCAGTCGTTTAGGAGATTCACCATCCACTGGATTTTGCAGGAGTATTTCCGTTCATTTCCAAAGAGAAAACGTCAGTGAAATAACCTTAACCGTCCAGTGTGGTAGAAGAGTTTAAAATGAAATCGCATAAACAAGATGACCAACGTATCCAGCTTAAATCAGCCTCTAATTAAATCATGTGGTCACCTCTATTATGGTGTAACTGCAATCACAACTTCGTCAGCGGAGAGAGGAAAGAGAGATTATGAATAAGCTTAAAGTGAAACGCTCGAGACAGCGCTTTCTTTATTTTTCAATCTTAATTTTATCGTTCCCGCGCCCGAAATGTCATGTTTAGAAACTCTTAACAGTGGCCAATTTGCATTATTAAATCAGTTGATAAAAGCAAACTCTTTAAAATTGCCCTCTTTTTTCATTGTCATGGTTGAATTGTCCACAAACAACTTGCTCAGTGTACCTTCTATCCATGTTATCCTCCAGGTCTGACATGTGCGCACGTGAATCTCTGCCATGCGTGAAAACCCTTAATATTTGCCTTTAATCACGTCAAGTGACAGAGGATTGGGTGGAATGCACTTCTTTCATCATAAATTGTTTTCAGTCCTCTTCTTGCTGATCATATTTGAAATTTTGATAACTCACAGTTAGAGACTAATTGGCACGCTAAAGCATTTGAATTTTTTTTGTTTTATTTTGTTTTGTTTTGTTTTGTTTTTTTTTTTTATCACAGCCACGTCCTTCCAATGCACCGTGCTGGGATCTCCACTTATCTCCGAGGTACAATTATTGGACAGTACAAGTTTCACGACAAACGCTCACAAAAATTTATGCATCATACCACTCTAAGATTTACAGAGCCAGTCTTGTTTGAAATCGATTCACATGATTATTATTCAAGTTTCACGCACACTGATACAATCAGAGATTTGGTCCGCGTGAGTTCCTCGCATGATAGCGTGCCACTTAAAATAAGCTGGAGACGCAATGCTTTGTTTCTTTCTCTCGATCACTACGCGGAAACTAAGCGGGTCTCTTCGAGTATTACTAACTTCTTAATCAAGCCTTCGGTTTCATCTCTGAGGAAAGGAGCAACTTGCAGTAGGACTTTCGTCTAACTATCAGCAAGACTAATTAATCACTGTGTCAGTCAAAATGTAAATCGTCGAGTTAAGATTTGTTTTATCAGAACATGAGCTTCCTAAAGTTGTAGAATTCAGTGGTTTACGAGTTCCGCATCAGTACGGAACGACTCTTAAACTCTATCCATACACAATTAAACNAAGACAAGATCTTAGGCTTTTAAAAGTTTGTTTCTGTTTTGTATACACCGTTGTTTGACGGAGTGTTTCTGGAGAGTTGTTGTTTTGTGAGTAGTGACTTGTTTTAAGAAAATCAGACGCCCAGCATTGTATTTAAACTACATATCCCATATCCCTGACAATAAATGAAAGCCACTGTTTCCCGCTGTTTTTTTTTATTTTTTTTTTTTACGCGCCTGGCTTTTTGTCCGTTTCCAGTGACTTAGCACCTGACACATGCAAATACAAATTTAACCCATAGTTTATTTCTCCAACGGACACATTGAGACCACCTCACCCCTCCCTTCCACCCTGCTCATGTATTGTTTCTCTTGTCTCTTAACCCTTTAACTCCCAAGATCTGATCGTTAATTCTCCCCTCCAGCTGCTACACATTTCCCTGTCAATTAGTTAGAGTTTGGTGTTTACAGGGATGCTGCTTTCAGAGAGGTCCGCATTAACCATCGAAAATACTCGTACATGTGCTGATTCAAACACTCATAATTTTTGAAAAGTCGAAAACGAACAGGGGGTTTTGCATATGTTCACCTATAAAGGTCTAAACTTAAGAGCTGTGTCGGATAGAATTGTCAATCAGGTCCCAAATCTCAAAACTTAACGTCTAAATCAAGGTTATTTACGGCCATCGGCCGATGGCGATTTATAGGGATCAAAATATGTTAAAATTCGCTTATTCAAATATATTGAGAGGGAAATTCTAACTTTCTTGGCAAACTAGACAGGTTTTTAAGCAATCTGGTTCAAATTTCGTGGCTTAACTACGTGAATCAAATGTCTTACAATGTTGCAAAGGATGCCTGTTATTTAATTTTTGAGACGTTGCGACGGGCCCTACGGATTGGGAAATATTAGGGCTCCTAATGCAGTCAGAAATCTATTTCGAATCAAATCAAATCTAGTTTTAATTAGCTCTGTCCTAAGTTAAGTCTTTCAGGTGACAGCTAGAGTTTCAGTCAAAATTATTTTTGGCGCGAAATTGACCGGGTGGAAATAAGAGAGACAGCCTCTTCAATGGTTAATCATCGTGCAAAAGCGAATGGATTATTTTACCTGAAACAGTCAGCTTCATGGCCAAACAATCGGTGACAACAATAGGAAGTGAAATTAATTAGTCAGGAAGATCTTTAGTTTGCAAAATCCCAAAACCGGTAATATGTAGGAGAGCTTCGAATTGCTAACGAAGAGAAACAATGTCTTGTTACCTCTCTGCGCCTTCTAACAAAGGAATTATGAGAGGAGATATCGGGGGCCTATAGATGAATCGATTTGTCATCTGGTAGACACAATAGACACTTTTCAAGCTCTGTGCTGAATATCCCTGTGCTGAATTCGATAGGAAGTATTTAAACTGCATTTCCTCGTCTTCTCATTATTAATAAGATATTTTCCTTTCCCTTTTCTTTAGCCGTAAGTCCCTACACAACAGCTTTAAAAGTTCAACCGTGTGGAGTAAGAATTCAGTAAATAACGCAAACTGTTCTCCTCACGTTCTTGTTATTTATTAAATGTTTAGAGAAAGAATAGGAAGT